AAACCTGAGCTTCCATCTCAGTCGCAAATGAAGATAGTTTTTAACAGACTTAGCTGGAAAAAGTGATTAAGGAAAATCTATCATCCCGTAAGTTACCAATCCCAGAGCGCATTCAACCATCTCGTGACCGTTGTCTCATCATCGTGAACGCGGCCGAATCGGACAAGACTACCTCAGCGGAGAGAATGTTGGATGATCAAATACTTCTCGAGCGGATGATTTCTCTACTGTTTGATGCAGGTGAACATGGAATAAACATTGTCTCTGCCTTCCGTCTCGGTAAGAAGCAAGAAAATTCCTCCAAGTTTCAACCCCTGAAGATTGTATGCAGAAACGAAGAGTGCGCGCATCCTGCGACGGACTCCACGTCTCAAGGGTGAACCTCTCTACCTGTTATGAGACCTCACCCGAGGACCGAATTAAAATGGAGAAGGCTGTAGTGGATGCGTAAATACCAGAAGCCCTCTGCTAAACCCAGAGAATTAATTGCCACGGCATCGAGAAAGATGCCGTCTTCAACAGTCGTAAAGTCATCTGACGGTTGTGCACAAGAGAACGTTCCGAAGATGCTAACCATCTCGGCTGCCACTGAACCAGCCCGTTCTGACGAAGTGTTGGTAACTGCTCAATGCGACACAAGGTCAACGGCCCCTGCTCCCGTAAGCCAAAAGAAGAAGCGGACTAGATCTGCCCGTAAAACTTCGAAGGGGCTTGAAGACCCAGGAACTAGTAAGACGCCGGCAATAGAGCGGAAAACCTACGCTACCGTTGCTTCGATGTCGTTTGCGGAGACGGGGCAGTCCCACCGCCGGTGGTGAAAACAGCTGGTATGTCGAATCCAAGACACGTGGGGTAAACACTTCACGTCGTGGTGACTCTTTCACGGATAGTAGCCTTATATTCTGTAACGTTACTGAATCTCCGGCTGCTCTACCTAGGGAACGTATCTTGGAGGACATCAAGTAACTCAAACTGTGCATCACCAAGTTGCTTCCACCTGACTTCCCTGGTGTCACTGTCAGAAAGCTGACCAGATTGGGGAACGTCCCTATCGGTACGGCAAATTCGCGACCCCGACTACTTCGCGTGGCCCTTTCTATCCCGGAGGAACGCAAATCATTACTGCGGTTTACATTCAAACTTAAAGGCAGTGGTGTCAGCGTTCAGCCAGACCTTCCACTGGCAGATAGATTGAAGTTAAAGGAGGCTATCAAAGACCTCAAAACTAGACGGGCGGCTGGTGAGCAAGGCCTCCGTCTGGTGGGTTTTCAGGTGGTCAGCCGGAAGTTATTTTCCACCCTTTTAGAACCCATCCTGATGGCGCACGGCCAAGGCATGGCCGTGCCGACTTTCTTGTGGTAGTACTTAGCAACGTACGTAGTCTAACAAACAAGGTGCATGAGTTTGGTCTACTTGTAGACAAATCTACTCCTGACATACTTGCTTTCACTGAAACGTGCTTGTCTCCAGATATCACGGACGGTGAGGTGTTTACCTGGCTACGCGCCTTATTTCGCCAAGGTGGAGACGTTGTACTTTATGTGAGCTGTAACTTAGATGTGTTGAGGATCTGCACATTCGTCGTCGGATCAGACTGTTGAAGCCCTATCGGCTGTTTTGTACACTTTCTCTACCCAGTTTACAGTTGTAGTGATATACAGGAGTCCTGGAAGTTCTTCCAGGGGGATAATTGACTTTATTCGCACTCAGTCCGCGAATAAGTGTTTAGTTCTAGGGGATTTCAACCTCCCGATCATTCTTGCAATGCGGCGTCGGGAACATTCGGTGCAGACTTTGTCGAGCTGACTCTCCAAGTGCCTTTGCACCAGTTTGTGGACTTCCCCACTAGGTATATGGACAACCAAATACCATCTACTTTAGATCTGGTTTTCGCTAAGTCCCTCGACTTCGTGACTAACGTTTCATACGGTGCACTTCTAGGGTCCAGCGATTACGTATGTATATCCTTTCGGTGTGCTCTTTCAAGGCACCAACAGGCCGCCGTTGAATTACCCGAATATTTGGCGAGCGGACTTTAGTGCAATACGAGTTAAGGCTTCAGTTCTTAACTGTGAGATCTCGATGGCCGACTCTGTCCAGTTAGCCTGGGACAAATTTAAGGTTACCTTTCGGTTTCCACTCCCTATATTCCACTCATGATGAAAAGGGGGTTACGGACACAGCCTCCATGGATAGATACCACAAGCAACTACTTACTCGAAAAACGGTCTAGATGCTGGCGAACCTACCAAGCAGCTCCATCAGCCAGTACCTATGATAGTTATCGAGAGATTAGAAATAAATGTAAGCAACATCTCAGGACTGTTCGTCTCCAGTACGAGCAGGTTTTAGCAGACTCGATTGCAGCTAATCCCATGAAGTTTTTTGCTTACGTTAAAAGACGCAGCGGGGCAAAACTGTCTATACCAGCGTTATTGCGAGCAGACGAGACCAGTGCGCAAACTATGTCAAGGCTTGTATACTTAGTGCTCACTATGCTGAGGTCTTTGCTCGAGAGGCCTCTTTACCACAGGTGGAATTGGTTTCAAGAGTTCCAGAGGATTGTTGCTTAGCTGAGTTTAACATAAGGGAGACTCACGTCTTCGAGCTACTGCAAGACAATAATCACTCTAAAGCTTCCGGTCCTGATTCAATTCATCCGAAGCTGTTGCATGAATTGACGACTGAGCTGAGTGGTTCTCATACATGCTTGTTTTCAATATCGTTTGGCAGCTGTGTCATACATTCGGAATGGAAGGAGGCAATCATCTGTCCGCTTTTTAGAGGCGGTGACAGCGCTCTGCACACGAACTACCGGTCTGTCAGTTTGACAAGCGTAGTAGTCAGGTTGTTTGGAAAGCTGATAAGAGATTCAGTGGAGAACCAGCTGAATAGATTCAACGTTCAGTGTTGCGCAGCGTGGATTCCACAAGGGATTTTCATGTCAGACTAATCTACTTGTAGCTCGTGAAAGCTGGGCCGAAGCGGTAGGCAGTAGCCACGCTGCAGACGTGCTATTAGTGAACTTTTCGTAAGATTTAGACACTGTTCCTCATCTTCAACTCTCACAAAAGTTGAGATCTTACGGGATATCTGGTCGCGCCCTTCAATGGGTGTCTGCTTTCCTTGAGGGGGGAACTGCGTACGAGTGGGGCGTAGTCTTTCGCTCAGGTAAGCTGTCCTTAGTGGCGTCCCGCAAGGCTCGGTATTGGAGCTATTGCTATTCGCGATCTATGCAAATGACTTGCCGGGGAGCTAGGAATGCCATCACTAATGTTTTGCTGACACCTTAAGCTCTGGAATATTGTGCATATCCGCGGGGGGTGTCCTGAGCAATTCAGCGTGCCTTGTATAGGCTCTGGGAATAGTCTACCTTATGGTTGATGCTCATAAATAGGGCCAAGTGCTCTGTTCTCCGAATCGGAGCTGCTAATCCTCCCACCCGATATGTCGGCGGTGGTGAGATCCTTGTTGTCACTCGGCAGGTTGATTTAGGGGTCGTACACTCGTCAGCACTTCATTATGATGACAATTAGAAGAAGGCTGCTTGTCGGCGGTTTCGTATATTGTGGTTTTTCCGCCGCTCTTTCGGAATCCTAATGTGAAGCTATTTTCGGCATTCGACCGACCCCACCTAGAATATCGTGTCCAGGCTTGTCCACCATATCTTAACCGAGACAAAATGAACTTGGAGAGGGTGTTACAAGTGGGCAGACGTATCCTGAACGCTTGCTCAATTTCGGGATGTACTCAATGCACTACCGAAGTATAAGAGGGGACCTGATTCTCACTTATCGTGTTGTGACGGATAAGATCGGCCCGGACTTGTTAGGGCTACTTAGTCTCGCTACGTTACCTACTCTCCGCAGTCACCCACTGACACTTCATAAACCACGGTCTGATAGGATTAGGACGGAAACTCGTCTATCGCGCCGAGTTATAGATCGCTGGAATTCGCTTCCAGATCAGGTGATTAGGAAACATACGGCTAAGGGTTTTGCGCGCCAGATCGATGCTCTTAGGTGGCAACACCAAACCTTTCTTTTTTCCTAACTGACTCACCTTTTCAGTCCTTTTTAATGGCCTAAATTTCTCGGTATTCTACTTACTTAGCTCTTTCCACTTTCTCTTTTTACCTTCTGCGTTTACTTTTTCTCTTAGTTCATGTAACCGGCCCAGCAGGAACTGCTAAGGCAGGATACGTGAGCATTAATTGGTTGGACAGAGTGGGATGCGGTCTTTGTTTTAGGTCCATCAGTATTTTAAAGTCTGCCAACTCCTGGTTCAACGACCCGCTGAAGAAGGAACACTTACGGGATAATCCTATGGTTCCAGTTCCGCCTAAGTTTGAAATATATTTATCAGGGAGGAACATTATAATGGAAATCTGTGACCGTATCCATTAGAGAGTTTAGATGCACACCTTTATTACTTTTTATTTACTTTACATCACTAAGTGGCTCCGAAAATAACTTCTATACCAAACCACAGAGCATATTTTCTTCTTATTTGGAGTCCGTTAGTTACGGACTACGCTTTCTCGTGTAGCGCGCCAGTGTCGCAGTAGTGTAGCCGGTCCACGGGCGTCGCGGTAACATGTTAACATGTAAGAGGTCGGTTGGTTTGTTTTCTGTTATCGTTACCCTCTTATTCCTCTCCGGCACCTTTCCTTCCCTCTTCCGTGCTTCCTTAGCTGATTCCTTACATCGGCCTCTTACTAGGCAGTTGAGCATCCAGCCGTCTACGAGGTATTTCTTTTGTGTTGCAGCTTTAAGAGTCTGTTGAAGGCCCGTCATACTATTTGGACACGGAAGAACTTGTAACATCGGACCGGAGAAATGCTACATATTTGGCGACCCTGCCGGTTCACGGCAGCAGTCCACGAAGCTATATTGTAGCCCTTGAGGCAATAATTGACCTTTCTGCTATCCTACTGCTTGTCGTTGAATCTGCCGAACCTAATATACCGCGCTCAATACCTCTTGCAGGTACATAACTTGATGCCGGTATGGTCCATTATTGGCGCTGACGGCGCCTGCTGAGAGGTGGGATAATGTAGCCGGTCCGTGGGCGTCACAGTAGCACGTTAACAGGTAAGAGGTCGATCGGTTTTACTTCCTATTATCATTACACTCTTATTCCTCTCCGGCACTTTTCCTTCCCTCTCCAGTGCTTCTTTACATCGGTCTCTTACTAAGCAGTTGAGTACCCAATCTTATACGATGTATTTATTTTGCGTTGCAGCTCTAAGAGTCTATTGAAGGCCCGTCATACTATTTGGACACGGAAGAGCTTGGAACGCCGGACCGAAGTCAGCAGGTAAGTTGTCGTACGACAACTACGTTCGACGTCGAGTGTAGCGTATATCGTGCTCGTCGTTTCCTCTTCTCTTTGCTGTTACATTTCAATTAGATGTTGTTGGAGTAGCCGACTATCGTGCACTTTCGCTCCATCCATCTAGTCGCCTTGTGCTCGGTCCTCTATCGGCGGATGACAGTACCGTCCAGCTAATCACGACATGTGACACAACCCACCGTTCATCCTGCTCCGACATTTACTAGGTGGTTGTCCAGCCGCCTACGAAGTATCTTTTTTGCCTTTCACTTCCCTCAGTCTACCACGACCCACATACGCCCCGAATAGAGAAGCCCTCGGAACCCTCGACCAGACGCATAATGCATCCCGACCCGGCCTTTCTCTAACGCATCCTTGACGCATGCTGTTGCTTCCACATCCACATACGTTTACTTCAGCAATTTTTAAGGTAAAATGAGACGGAACTACAGACATTGTTTATCTTATATATATATATATATATATATATATATATATATATATATATATATATATATATATATATATATATGGTTGGCTGTATCCGGTTTCGGATTTGCCTGTCAATGTGACCAGCCACAAGACGCCTGCGCTTACAGAGGGGCCATGGGTGGCTTGCGCTGCACCACCCACAGCTCCAACCACATACCCCAATGTCCAGTGTAAACCCCAAGGAATAAGACCGGGAGGCATGTGGATGGGAGCCGCGTTTCATCAACGGAGCCGGCCCACACTCCTTCAACAAGCAGAACAGAAGCATTCCGGCCTAATTAGGAAATCATGCACACCACGCATGCACAGCGCTGGCTGGACCGTAGTCCGTTCCACACTGGATGGAACCACTCTTTGAGCCTAGCACCGTCACGATGATTGTGCACTCCGTCCCCTCCAGCGACGACCAACTGTCTGCTGAAGCCAGTATGAACGAGGTAATGGGTAATAGACACGTAGACACCTTGTCAACATTCACATCAAGCGCATCCACACCGAGGAGCTTAAACAACATTTACTTCTGAAATGCAAAATTACTCAGCACGCAGGCAAACGTACTACATACGCCGCCTTATTGGCCTGGATTAGTAAATCGAATGGGAGCGTACGCGTCATGCTTCTATTCCGCGTGCAATAGTACCTTCTTCTGAACCTGAGCAACCGCCTTTCTAATCAGTCTACGGCGTTCGCATCGATCAGTTTTGCCTTGGATTCGCAACACCTGAAATCAACATGAGTTTGTCATAAACTCACCTTCATGTTCTGGTAATGTTATTTTCGGTTTGCTCGAGTGCCGTTTCCCTGTACTAAGTTAGCCGTACAAATGCGCTATGAGTATCCTCGTCGAATTCATTCGGTATACATATATACAATGATTGGCGTCATCCGTATTCAATGGCAGTTCGAATACAACATATGCACATGTGTTTATACAAATTTAAGTGTGAGCTGTCACAAACTGCATAGAGACACATTAGGCATCATGATCAATGGTACGACAACCGTGTATGGGTTTGGTTTGAAGGTCAGCCTAACAACCACTTTCGCAGGCATAACAAAAAGTTCCCGAATACGAACTGTTGATGTTTTCTTCAACATTTAGACGTGACCGCCTTAAATCGTGGGCATCCGTATTTGAAGGAACCCGGATATAGCAATAGTGAAGCAACTGCTAGGTAGAATGATGCCTAAACTACTGGTACAGTGAAATAGTGTGCACTTAGGTGTTGCCCTCTACATGTACAGTCTGGTTTGAGTAGCTGATGGGGGAGCTGATCACACAGCATGCGAATGCGATGCATTGTCCACTTCTGGCTCTCTGTGTCTCCGACCGGTTCGGTCATCTGCTAGCTGAGGTATGTGCACCTACTCAAAGGAGGATTGATGCGCACCCTTTGGTATTGACAAGTGACATCAACTAAGTCCCATTGCCCACTGTCAAACATGCGACTTTCCAAACAGTGTTAGCAATTTTTGTGAAAATGTCCAACTACTCAGCCGTTTGCACCTACTGATAATGATAATAAAAATGATAATGCATCAGCTGTACGCCGTAACGGCGCTTCGCTGCCGCGCGACCACCACCAGTCGCGCGCGGGCTGAGTATACCGCGAGGACGCCCACCCCTACGCGGATTCGAACCGGTGACCTTACGGTTACAAAGCAAACGTGCAGACCACCCGGCCACCGGCCTACGTGTACTCTACTGTGGCCACAAGCAATCTATATCATCTAGTCTTCTAGTTTCAACTCACAGGCAATCGCAGGGCCTCGCTCCAGTCCCGTTGACAACTCCATGTTCAACCAAGCGGACAATGTCAGTTCATTCGTTTCTCTTTGGGACCCGCAATCCTCGCTAAAACTGGCACGTCTCAACGTGCGCTCTTTGTTGTAGATTGGCCAACAGACAGCATTTACCCGAACACTATGGACTTTATCAGTCGACATCTGCTGCTTACCGGAAACTCCCCTGCAAGATGCGAGTTCGGTGATTACCCCGCGATCCTCTACTGGCGACACTGGCGATGTGTTCTCATTGCATTTGTCTGGAGATGCAGCTACAAATACTCTTCAAACTGGTGTAGGCATTGTTTTGATTCACTGCGCTGAAGCTACCCTGATTGAGTGGTTCCCAGTCAACAGTCGGATGTGCGCCTTCCGATTGGTTGGCTTGTTCAGAGTTTCGAAGTCACGCGTAGACAAACAGTGCCTGTTTGTCATTGCGATCAATGCACCCACAAATTGTTGCGCTGATTCGGTGAAAACTGGATTCCATCGCCAACTAAACGACCTCCGTCACAGAAAATGAACGGATACTGTGATCCTGGCTGGCGATCTGAACGCCTAAATTGGAAAACTCCACTGATGAGCTTCCTCTGAGCTGCCAACACGGTGTAGGCTTCCGTAGTGATAACGGTGAGCGGTTGCTACACCTGTGTGAAGATCCTGTTCTGTTTATCGCGAACACTAACTTCCGACACAGCACCCGCAGAAGTGTGACCTGACGTCCACCCACCTCAAACCAGCCAGGGATCTAAATTGACCACATCGCCATTACTTACCGCTGGAGAGGCTGTGTCCAAAACTGTCGCGGGATTCGGAGCACGAGTGTGGACTCTCACCACGCACTCCTTTGTGCCATTTTTACAGTCCACTTCGGTGGGCGCATGTTGCTTCGCTGTGAGCGCATAGTTATATGCCAGCTGGCGAGGCCATATGTCCTGAATGCGAATGGAAGTATGTTAGCATCCTGGCTGAGTAAACGCTCTCTGAATACTGTATTGTGGGTGCAAGTAGCAATTTAAATCTGTACAACTCCATCTAAATATGCACAACAACGTTAAAAAAGAAAACTATGACTTGTCAATACCGTTATCTTTTTCACGTTCTCACGATATATCGTTAAAAATCGTTTAACTCACAGTAGATTAGGTCTCAAAAATGCAAGATGCTTGTCGGTAATCGTTCACGGAATCTATTATTTGTGAAATGCACATCCAGTGATCGTTTAAATAACGGTACGGAGTTCACTTCCACCATATGTTCCGGCAAACTGTTCCACACATTTACCACTTGTCGTTCCAAGCACAGGAGATGGGGAACTCGCTTCATCTCTGGTATCACTAGCTTCTATTGGTTCGAACTGGTTTAGAATATTGGTAGCTCGGGAGGCTTGTTCAGTTGTTGTGGAGTTCTCCGAGCTGAGCAACTTGATTGCAATCGTTTCGCCACCATTCGAAGTCGCATCTTCAGTGCAAGGTTGATGCAGTTAGGTAGCAGTAGCTGGTAGAAAGCAAACCCGATAATGAATACTGTCAACAACCACTCCGTTCCTTATGTAGGCACACGGGGCTATTAAGTTTGCCTCGTTCTGATTGGTGACTCATTGTGTTACGCGGTCGTGCTCGAGTCACTGTCTGGCTGCGAAAATGTTGTTGCGACGTGATTGGGATTTTCGCACTCGGATTTGTGCAACGGGGGTTGGTGAGCAGTCTGGGCTCACATTGACCATACTGTTCATTACTTTGGTGTTGGATTAGGTTCGTTCGAACAACGGTGATTAACCCCCTTGAGCTCTCTCTGTTTCAGCGGTTGGTATGTTGGATGGATGTCAATATACACGTTGATTGAGTTCGTGGTTAAGAATCTGGTTTCGAGAAACTCTGTCGCTTTTGTGTTTCTCCTTCGGTCAAGATCTCTACTTTGTTCCAGTCCACGTATGCTGAAAACAATGAGGTTGCGTAATTTTTTGCCCGCTCTTTGGTACTCATGCATCCTTGTGGACAGCTTCCTTCCTGTTTGTCCCACTTAGTGCTTTTCACAGTTTACGCAGTTGATTCTATATATGACATTCCGTCGTTCGTGTCTCTCGATTTCCTTTTGGTTTTGACAATGTTTTCCTGTGGGTGGAGGTTGGCTTGTGTGATACCATGATGTGTTGTTTGAACAATCTGGCCGTCATTTCAGATACGTTCTTTATGTACTACAGAACTATACGTTTAATCATGGCTGACGTAGGTTCGGTTTTTGAGGGCTTGCGGTTTAAGCATTTTCGGAGGAAACTGCGTGGATATCCGTTACGTTCAAATGACTTGAGTAAGTGCTTTTCTTCTGCTCGTTTCGCCTCTGTTGTACTGCAGTGAGTTGCTATTTTACGGAACAATGTCTGCACACTGCTTATTTTGTGACATCTTGGGTGGTTACTGTTGAAATTCAACATTTGATCGGTGTGCGTGCTTTTTCTGGAAACTGATGTTTGCAATTCGCCGTCCATTGTTCTGGCTTCTAACACATCCAATAAAGGAAGTTTGTTTTCTTTCCCTGATTCCCATGGTAAACTGGATGCCGTTCATACCGTCTTTAAGCAGTTGTTGCGCAACCGATACTTGACTATGTTTGATTATCACAAACGTATCATCGACGTATCGAATCAAAAGTTTCGGACTAATGATTGGTAATAGATCCTCTTCCAATTTTTGCATGACAATCATCTC